TAATAATGTTAAATAAAAAATGAGACATCTTTTGGTATCTGCTCTGATTTGATTGACAATTTTAATGCTAGTCTAGAAGAGGTAGTAAAAAAACTTCTGATATAGAAAATTWAATACTAAATTACAAACATAAATGTGGTAATAAATTTAAAAAATAAGTCACATTTCTCAAAACAGTAATTAAAAATAATTAACAAATAATTCACTATAATAATATTGAGGTGGTAAAAACATGAGCAAAGTCATTAAAGTGTGATGTTGAAGATTGTGATATTATTGACGCTTTTAGAGGTTAAACATATAAGAACATGGACGGTAAAATATTTACATACTTCAATTCCAAATTTTTTTATTAAAAACACAAAACTATATAAAAAAATAGTATTATTTTATTAGCTAATAAAATTCATATGAATTTCCTAAAAAACAAAATATTCATTAATGACCAAATAACCAGACAAAATAAAAAAGTGGGTAAGTCGTAAATGTTGCTCTGCTATAGTAGGTTACAACTGGGTTACTGTAATGGATGGAATTAAATTTGAATTCAATGATATTATATCATTGTATACGAAAAACGATTCTGAACGGAAACGGTTAGGTTAGGTCTATCTATATATCTAGGATATATTATAGATTATAAAAATTTTCAAAACTTAGATATAAAAGGAAAATTTTTTATGATTTCTAGCATAAAATAATTTACGAATTTTCATGATTTTTATGTATATTGTCAAAATTAAAATTTGAATGCTTGTAAAAAAAAATTGTGAGTATGTATTTMTTTTATTTTTCAATTGCTATTATAAAAATATGTTAGGCGCCATGTATAAAATTTTCAAATCTTAGATATAAAAAGAAAAACTTTTAAGAATGTTTATCGAAGATAATTTGAACATTGCCGTAATTTTTASGTATTTAGTCCAAATTTGAACTTTACCTAAATAATTATAAAAAAAAAATTGTGTCTTTGTATTTTTAATATTCTTCAGCTGCTATTGTAACCATGTGTCAGGAGCCCTGTATTAAATTTCCAAGCTTATCTACCAAACAAATACATTTTTATCAATATTTATTGAAAAAAAAACTAAAAAAGTTGAGAAATTAAAATGTCAGTAAACAGCTCAAAACTAATCAAAATATTTTGAAAATTTTTATCAAATATAGGAAATGCTTATATAAACATTGCGTCAAAATTTCAAGTATCTGCGGTCATTTGTTTTAGAGTTGCACCAAAATAAGAAATCTAGTGAAAATCCCATGATGTAAAAATTTAAATTTCAAACGCTCATAAAAATTTAATTTTAATGTCTGGAGGACATTTTTTTTTTTTGTGATAAAGATTGACAAACTTGTAATGAATCTTGTATTAAATTTGAAAAGCTTAGATTTAAAAAGAAAATTTTTAATGAATTTCTAGCTTAAAATAGTTTTCGATTTTTTTTAATTTTTACGTATTTTGTCAAAATTCAAATTTTAAATGCTTATAAAAAAAATTGTTACTAAAAATGTCTTTTATTTTTACCTGCTATTGTAAAAATATKTCWGWAATCTTGTGTTAACATTTTCAAGCTTTTCTACCTAACAAATACATTTTTTATTTATTAATTTAAAAAATACTAATAATGACCGAAAATTGCATATGCCTATGAATAGTTCAACTTTAGTCGAATTTTTTTATGGTCATTGGTTTTAAAGTTACATCAAAAACCAAAATTGATTTTGTCGAAAACTGATTGTGCGTAAAATTTCC